GTAAAATGTTAATATTTATTTTGTTAGTTAAATTATATATGGAATATTAATTTCGTTTTTAATATAATTTGGAAACAATGACATTTTCTAAAAATAATAAACTAAAATAATGATGTGTCATTTTACGATTGGAGGACTTAAATCCTACGTGGACGCTCTCAATGGCTTATAGCCTCAACTTTTATATAGTATAGATTATTAGAAAAAAAAAAACTCAATATGATAGTTACATTTGTGAGGAGTATAACGTCTGTTTTTTAACACGGATATAAGATCTGTTAATAATTAGTTTATTTTTTCTTAAAAGGATATATATATATCGTTTGCTGGGTTAGCCTCAGAAAGAGGTAACATACACGTCGCGTTTTACTTGTTCTCGACCACTTCCCACTCAGTTTACATGCAAGTTCTATATCGGATGATGTCATTCATTCTGCCACATCAGTTATCATCACATCTCTCTTACAGGCGCTGATGATGTGGGATTATCTCTCCTCCAAACATGTGTTGGAGAGTAACTTACACAAACTTCTCTTCGACTTTTCTACCGGGATAATTATTATAAGAGTAAATCACCCGATTCTAAAACTGCACCAGCTATTCATGTAGCTCGAAGATAGACGGTACTATCAGTGCTATTCTCTCTTATCTATTTCCACCTATTTAATGCGAGTTTCTGTAACTTATGTTACTTGAATTTGTTGTCAACCACTTGATATCACTATTGACTTCCGTTTGGATCAATCATATAAAATAGTAGGTTCACTCTTACACTTTCGATCATAAATTATACTACAATTTTTTGTCAAAACGTATTTCATAAACTTCCTATCACATACCAAATGGACAGTAGTCTACTGATTCTAAGAGTGAATATTTAAGATCACTATTCAGTTTCATCTGAAAAATAGAATTTTACATTTTACGTGTGGTATAATTGACAGTTTATCCTAGATTTATAAGAAGATTATGTAACCAAAATTTTTTAACTTCTAAAGTTTTATAAAAAAGACAAATCATTTATTTGACGTTAAATATAGTCTCCGAAATTTCCACAGTGAGATACTGAGGTCTACCCTTTGTACTTAACTAATATATAAAATCATAATTCTTCATATCTATTTAAAATGCAAATTGCATGATGTGTGCTAGCTAACCAAGTGTAGGTTGCTTAACTCGTCGTTGTTTACAACAGATTATCGTTTTGGAAAGCATTCTGGCCCATACGGGATCATGTATAAACATCGGCAAAAAAACTTTTCAGTTCAGGAAAAAACACATTCAACCCACTTAAATATGTATTTACATGATTAATTTATTTTGCCATTAAAGAGCACTCACCTATCCGACCTCCGCCTCCTGTATATATAAAAACATATCTTTATCGCCATTATAGTTACCTACTGCGTCGTCTGAGTATCATTGCAAGAGTCCAAGGGATACAAATCATATCTTAAAAATTGTGACGGACTTGACTAACAAACAACCTTAGGAATCCTTTACTTTGTTTATCGATAGCTTATAATTGATTTAGTTGCAAATCCCAATCAACAGGGGATTCACATGCAGGATATGATATTATATATATATATATATATATATATATGAATTTGGTTATGTTAATTAGAGGATAAATTAGTGAGAACAAAGGCAGAGCTAATAATGTTGACAATAAGAAGAGCCAATATTTAAATATAGTTATATATGTTTAACCCGTACCAAAGAGATCCAATACGCTGACAAAGGAAAAAACATCTGGTCCAATATTGAAATTGGAATCAAGCACTGATTGGAGTCGACGTAGGTTAGCAATTTTATGCATAAACTTTTTTTCTGAATGAAGGCTTCAATTTTTTGCATAAGCTTACTTTTTGTTTTTTTTTTTTTTTGTTAGGGATAAAAGAGTAACTTTAGGGTCAAACATTTTCTTATATATAAGTTAAAATATTTTGTATACGTGTACACAATAATTTGAAGGTTCGAAGGAATATCACATGGAAACATCGATCGTTCTATAAATTGCTCGTATGAAACAAACCTACAAGCCTAGAGTCCTATAGTTATAAGATAACAAATGTAGTTATCGTATTCGGTGTATTAGTTAATGTGTCACTGTCTTTGGAATTAAATAGTTATCGGTTGACAAAAAATAAAATAAATAAATGTAGTTACTCCCTCTGTTTCATTATAAGTGTCACTCTACAGCTGTGCACACGGATTAATGAAATAATTAATTTTACATATTTCCTATATAAAAACACAATTACCCATACACCTAACCATATTTTAACCAATAGAAAAATAAATTACATAATAAAATTACTAAATTTTGCATTGAAAATCGAAAACGACACTTATTTTGTAACGTAAAAAAATTTCTACAACGACACTTAATATGAAACGGAGGGAGTATTTTATTAGTTAGTCGAGTAGCTTCCAAATCCATACGGTTATAGTTATTCGTAATTAGAGCAAGTAAAAAATCAAAGGAGATCATTTTTTCAGTGCTCTTTTATTGAGGAAATTTGTAAAGTGTTAATCATCAGGCTGTTAGGCTCAAACGACAAGAAGGTTTGGCGTCAAATTTTGAAGTTGTTGGTCGATAGAGCTCTAGGGAAGAATAAGCTGTATCTTCTGCCGTCAGTTTTTTCAAGAGGCAGTTCACTCACTATGGCAAGAGTGTAATGAGGGACGTCATGTAGAAGCACATCAGAACAGTGAATTTCTCGAGAGGGCTATTGAAAAATAAGTGAGAAACCGGATCTCTACGAACCAAATGATGGGCATGGAGGGTTATGAAGATGTCATGAACTTTTGAAGCTATTGTTAGCTTCAGTTTAGATCCAAAAGCTTCAAAGAAGATTCACGGCGCTTTTATAGTTTAACTATCTCAACTAATTGCTAGTTTTCATATTTCCGAAGCATGTATTTTAAAAACGTTTTTGAGTAAAATTAATGTTACATTCATTTTTTTAAAGTTACATATGTGTGTGTGTGTGTGTGTGGGTGTGTGTGTATTTGACGTTTTAAGAAACTAAAATTGAGTGGATCCAAGTGGAAGAAAAACGAATGATTTGATCTTTAGCAGAAAAGGTCGAGTAAATTTTACGACATGCCATGTGGCTGTGATCTAGTTTATAGGATCTTCTCATCATATCCATCAATAATAATAATAAAATTCGTACGTGAGTAGTTTTGTGTTCCACTATTTAGAATTAGAACAAAGCTAATACTAATATATATATAGAAAAAGAAAATACGTATATAAGACAAAAGAATTAAATACGTAAAAGGAAAAGTAAAATAAATAAAGAGAATGACAGGATGGGCAATGAGAGTGAGTGCATATGTTGCCAACAAAAGAAAAAAAGAGTGCATATGCGTTATACCTCTAATCTCCGCAGTTCCTCCGACCAAAATATCTTATCGACCGTCGACTATGTCTCTTTGCTAACATAAATACCATATGAGGTGGTGATCTTATTAGTTATCTACCGTCGAATATGTTCCCACTTTGTATTTCTTCTACAGTTCTACATATTAGTATATTTTCAATTTTGTTTTTATATATTCCCTTTTTTTTTTGAGAAAGGTTGTTTTTATATATTCTTGAAACTATGGCTATATCATATATGGAACGAGATAAATAATAGTCTCATCCCGTAAACTATCACCATTCCATTTATTTCAATTCACTATATTTCATGCATTCCTAAAATTGAATACCAGTCACAGCCTACGAGTCGTGGCCGGCGGTATCATTTGCGAGGAATTAATTCCTTTATTTATAAATAAATACAAAGTGTGTGTCTTGCAAGGAGACAATCTCTGAAGGAGAGTTTTCTTAAAATAAAAGAGCGACACAACTCTTTATCTGATCCTATCTTCTCCTCTTGTTTGGACGGCCAATTATTTACTGACGTTTATTCACGCGGTTTGATCCGGCGCGCGTTTGTTTATGTAAAAGAACATGAGAATGCACGGAAATATAGAGAGAAGGAGGTCATCATTGTCATTTTGCTGAAAGCCCCATATTGAGAAATTAACAATTCTTCTATTTTATATGAATGACCAAAGAGCACAAGTGGGTTGATTCGAAATTACAAATGCAAGAACTATCTATAGTTCCACGAGCTTGACTCTCCTTTTTTTTTCAGCCAATTCACCCTTTTTTTTAAGTTTGTCTCCCTTTTAAAATCGAAAATATCCAGATTCCCTCTGCATTGTGAGACAAGTTGAATTTGTTTTCCGTTCAACATTGTATCGGTGTAGGTTCAGGGGGGGGGGGGGATCATAGGACAAAAAACTGAGAATATAACTCTGAGATTTTCGATTTGAAACACATTGGTCATTACAAAAGAATCAAGAAGATGTACATGCAAACACACATATATCTATACACTACATCCTGTGGAGAAACTAATGGTTTGAAGTGCACAAAACTGGTCCATTCTCTATAAACCTAAAGATAAGGAATTGTTTAGCTAAAAAATTAATTACTTGGCTTTTGACTCGAATATTCTTCCCCTGTTCCCAACCGAAAAAACATAGGAAGATCTGGACCAACCCCTACAAAGCGCAACAAGACCAGATGATTTAATATCACAATCACAAGATCAACACCCCGAGTGCAACTAGTGCAAAATATATTAATTGATCATCAAATATTTACTTACCACTTTTTCCAGGCTTTAGTAATGTTGAATCATATACCCTGTCTCGTGATCATGAATTAGTAAGGGTTAAGCTCAGCGTATCCATACCGTTGGGGAAGAAGTTCCTCAACTTCTATCCTAGAGCTTTTCTTGATATGGTAGTTTCTATATACCGATTCAATCTCTACAGAGAACAAACTGTAGACTGGTCTGTGATCTGAGAACCTTGACTCCCCGCGAACATACGAGAGCTGACTAAGTCCGTTACCATGCCAGAGAATGCGATCACACCTTCAATTTTTTAAATTAAAAGAAAAGAAAAAACTCATTAATATTATATATATATATATGTAAACCAATTAGATTTATTTGTTTATACTCAGAAAAAAAAAGAAACACTACTAACCATGCAGGAGTCCGTCTTTTGGCCTTGTTGAGACGATCATCACCAGCATATACATCTGAATTGTTAGAGTACTTGTAAGTGGGTGGGAAATAGATGGTCCCTTCATTCCATCCTTCGAAGATACGACCTCTACGTTGTTCTAACCGCAACTATAACAAAAACAAAAGTAACAATTGTCTATATTATTAGATCAAGTTGGGTTTGTTTTTTTCAAATAAATGGGTTTTTTCTGCTTACCTGGTCTTTCTCAAGCAAAGCACTCCAATTTCTCATCTCGACAAGAGCCTTTGTGGACCGGTAAGAAAGAGCTATACGGTAGTTTAAGTCTCCAAGCCAGATTACCCGACTGGAAAGACATAACGAAACAAGATTTAGCATGTATTTTACTCAAAGATTTAAGAAATACCAACGAATAAACTCACTCGTGTTCTAGTATTGTTTGGGGAGACTTGTCTTCCCCTAGGTTGTTCACTCTAGGGAATCTCGTTTTCCTTAGAATCTCTAAAACGTCAGAATTTCTTCTCAGCTCATCGCCTTCTTTCTGACCGGATGTCAAGTGGCTGCACACAAAGCAGAAGCTAGTCTGGTGTACCGACATGCTGATTGAAATCGAGCCCTGCAGATTAAGAAAAATAAATAAATAAATAAACATTCAAAGTGTAAACTCTAATGGAAAATAATGTGGGTAGATCTAACCTTGTTTCCGAGATAACCCATTAAGCCTCTTCCTACGCAAGAAACTTTGAGGTTCTTAACACTGTCCCTTAGATCACTCTTAACCCAAACAGTTAAGAATATCCCAACCATTTGCTTGCTAGCCACCAAACAATACTTAGACTTGTCTCTCTCGTCTGTCGTAAAAGATCCACTCCTCGAGACAGTATCATAGGATGGAGGAGAACTAGAGTCCTGCACATTCTCATGGTCGTCGTCCTCGGAGGAGCAATAGTCCTGGCCGCCCAACATGAAACGGTCACAGACGCTAAACCTACGGTCAAGATGTGGCTGCATGGACGCTGCTGCTGACATGTCAAAGTTGTAGTTCATCCTCAGGCTCTTGCTTAGTGACTGAAACGACCTCCGATGATAGAAAGAAGAGTTTGCGTCTTCGAAGTCAGAGTCCAGCTCGGCGACCGGGTGAGGAACAGGGGAAGGGGTCCGGCAGCTACCGCCAGGGAGACTGTTCAAGGTTCTTCGGATGAGAGAAACCCATTTCCTGGCGGGACCGTTATCTTCTGTACCCAATACGTTGCCCGCGTTCAAAGGAACGATCTCTTGGAAGCTGTGGGAAGTCTCAGAGTCAGAGAGATTAGTAAACATTTTGTTATTTATTTTATCACTTTGAGTAAAATGGAATATATAGCATTACCCAAGAACGTAAATGTCGGAAGGAGGTGAGGTGTGGAGCCAATCCTCGAGATTCAGATAATTCGGTGGAGATTTTCCCGCGACATTCCAGGTAGCAGTAAAAACCCTGATGTGAACAACCGTGTGTTACTTATAGGTGAAGAAGCAAAGAAACAGAGGGCAAGATAAATATATATTTATCTCTTTTTAGTCAAAAAGATAAATATAAGTACCTGAGATTAAGAACTTGTTTAACTAGTGGTGCTGAATCCATTTCCTGTTTGTTTCGTCTACTTCTTCCATTATTTCTTCTACACCGAGTCTCTGAAATACAAATTAATTAAACAGTTGTTGTAAAATTCAATTAACTTTGAAAAAAATTGGAATGAGTTACAATTTACAAAGAAAATAAAAAATAAAAATAAAGAAGAAGCATGTCTTTTGATAGAAAAATAAAGAAGAAGCATGTATTTTGAGTGATTACTGACCAGCATAGTTGCTTTTCTTGTTAACAGAGCATGCTTCTTCTCTTTCAATGACATTGTTACTCCAGTCTCCACATTCACCTGCAAAATCTTTTAAAAAAAAGAAGAAGTGAACATCTAATAAAGTAGAAAACAAAAGCTGTTTACTTCTCACATTCCTAGACTTGAAGAAGGCTGTTCTTTTTTTTTTCTTTTTTTTTTTTTGAAGAAGGCTGTTCATTAACAACATTTAATTATTATTAGTATTACTTTTTAAAACAATAAGTATATATGTATGTTTACCTTTATAAAGGTCTTTGTCGTCTGCGTGGAAATCTTCTGCTTTGCTCTTGATGTTGAGCCATTTCTTAACCAAAGTTTTGGGCCATGAGAGCTGCACAAGAATTTGAAGATCAGTAACGTTTTGTGTGGTGCTGTGATAATCAATTCCAGTTTAAATATTTTATTTACTAGAGAAGTGAAAATGAGAAAAAAACCTTGGTTCTCTTGAGGCTACTACCATCGCCCATTGTTTATACAGAATGAGTAGATCCTTGATTTCACGAACTAATCTTTTGCAAAAACCCGATAGATAAGCATAAGCATCCCCCGGCCGAGTTAAGAAATGGTGTTTGACTAGAGAAGAATATATATATAAAGAAAAAAAAGATAATGTGAGATTACTTCTTATAAACACAACAGCGAAAGACTTTGAAGTTAGGGATTTGAAAACAGGGGGTCTTCGTTTCTGGGCATATAGCAACGTGGGGAGGGAAGAAAGAGATTCTTCTTCTTCTATTTGTTTTCTCTCTCTTTGAGTCTTTCTTCTCCTCCCTTATAAATGAAAGGGGATGTACTCCTTTCTTTTTTAATTTGCTAGTTGCATTCTATATTTATTGCAGTTTCCCCTCAAATTTTGTTTGATTTTTTAAAAAAATATTATTTCTATAAATATGTAAACCCTTAACATATCTTCCCGACTTCCACCACCCTCCTTAAAGCTCTAAGTTCGGGAATAGAGTAGTGCTTGGAATTAAATTCTTTCCTTATATATGTTCAGTATTATTATAACTGATTTAATTCGTTACCACAAAGTGATACTCCGATCTTTCTTTCTGTTTTAATAAGCTACTAGATGTTTTAAATATTTTCAAGTATATATCAGAAGATGTATCATATATATTTGACATGTATTTATACACATCTTATTGTTTGTTAGTAGTTTTTCGTTGCAACTATTGAGATATTTTAAAGTGTAGTCTTGTAGATTAGAAAAATAATCTATATATATATATATATGTTATACGGTACCTTTGTTATCATGTCATACTTTTATGGAAACTAATAAATCAACGGTGCATACAAATATATGAGCAGAAATAAATATAATACAGAATCGTAATCATAATATTTTTTGTAAGAAAAAAGAAAAGTACAAGATGACCATATAAAAATAAACACTTTTGAGTTGTTCCATTCCATATGTGCAATACAAATCCCGGATTTGGCAATTAGAATAAACACATAAACAAAAAGAGACAAAACGAAATCTGAATTCTTGGGAAATTGTCGCCAGGAAATAATAGTTACTTGTTATATAGTAAATGACAATATAATAACATCAATACTAGAGGGTGGATTGGTGAGCTAAGGTAGGTGCATGTATGCATGTTTAGAGGGTGAAGTTTGAGGTTTTGGGAGACAACAATAACTCAAATGCAACTTTATATTTGTGCATTCGTGGAGTATATTTTACATATAAAATGTAATTAACACGTTTACCAAACGAAAAATAAACGTATTTATGGAAAGGCCAAGAAAACAAATGTATTTCTTTGCAAGACGCTTTTTAGTAAAATGTGAAGTTTATAAAATTTAGTTTGTTGTGTGTATAGAGGAGGGGGACTCTTTTTGACCCAATCTAGACTAATGTTTACGGGACCATCATCCCCGTTTGCGAGACTTTGCTTCGTCTTCTTCGATCTATTTTACTTCTTCTAAATTTTAATTCAGACAATAATACTCGCTTCACATTACTGTAAGAAAATACATTCTTCTACAAAAAAAAAAAAATCGATGGCTTAGATTATAAACACAAAGTCGGTTTGAATTACTTGGCTTACGTTTTGGGCCGAATCGAGTATCAAACTGAGAAATATTTGTTTAATCATAAGAAAAAGTTTGATCGAATGAACATATGTAAGTAACCTTTTGTGTATTTTCTAACACACAAAGTGTGGATCTTGTAGGGTTAATTTATGGGGCCCAATAACCCCATGTTTCTTTATTTCGATTTTTAAGAAAATATAAATTCGAGTTTCCACTTTTAAGACATGGTTTCGTGAATTGAAGCGATTTTTTTTTTGTAAGATAAAGTTAAAATGACACATGCTGCATGTGGGAGACCGTGTCTGTTTCTTCAGACCAACACTTGGGTTTAGTAAATATGTAAATCACCCTTTTCCTATGTGTCTGTTTCTATTTAAATGATACTAAATGGTTCATGAAAACATCCTAGTTAACATGTTCAACTAAAAGCTACTTCATCTGTTTTATTAAATTATATATTCTAGAAAAGAATTTGTTTCAAAAAAATACTTTTTATATTTTCAATATATATTTTAGCAAGTAATAATGATTAACTGTAATTTTTTAAAAGAAACTTAATTGTACTTATTAAATTCTTCTTAATATAAAATTATGAAAAAAAATAATCACAAAATATTATATATTTATTAGATGTTTTATTAGATGTGTAAATAATTTAGAATATGTATTATATTGAAACTGTTACAAAAAATGTATTATATTGAAACAAATGAAGTATAATAGTAGGATTAGTAAACATGTATTTAATTATCAGAACTTTCAATGCTTTATAATTATGTCAGCTACACAATTTTTTTTTTTTTGCTAATAAAAAAAGGTATGAACGAAGTCCTATGTTCTGGTTCTTAAGAAGAATAAAAAGAAGCTTTTTTCTGATCGAATACATTAATTTAATTACGTTAATTTTGTTAACATACATACAAATTTTGGATTGATAGTTAATCTGTCTAAACATGTTAATAATTGTGATATATATTCATAAACGTATACTAATTCATTAGCATATTAAGATATGATTGATTATATTTCCGAAAATCAGTTTTCAGAAGAAAAAAGCTTGCGAAGAACAGTTTTGTATCATTTGTTATAACTTACATCATTATAGAATATTGAATAAAACTAATTAAAATGCATGCAACTGTGAGAAGAAATTCGCAACATAATTTCGTACACATATATTCATAATAAATAGTTATATGTACCAAATCCATGATAAACATCTCCCCACAAGAGTTATCACAGAGGAGTTTTTATGATTTTATCAGTATTAATATGAATCCTCCAATATAATTTTATTAATTATAGGCAAAAGTTACATTTAAAAGTAACTGAACTTCAGAAATGATTGTTTAAACCTTTTACTATTGAACATATCTGAAAAACTTATAGAGAAGCTACATCCCAACAACCTTTATTTGTAAATATAAAAATAAAAATGAAGACTCAATAACTTTGTCTCTGCAAAACACTTAGCCAGCTGTAACAACTCATTATAAAATTACGTTTTCATTGTTTTTTTTTCCTTTGTTAAATGCCCATGACAGACCTGATTAGCGAAACGTACTGATTAATTAAAGGGTTAATACTTAATAGTAGTGCTATTTTATTGCATCACGTCAACAAAAGTACACCCAGTAATAAAGAACTAGAAGATTTTAATAAAGGTTTGCTAAATGAATTTTTTTTTTAAAGGATACCATTTTAAATAAGGGCTTTTTTGCTCAGTAACCAGAAAAAAAAAAATTATTTAGTTTTTTAGAGAGAGGGGAAGAGAGAGATAGGAAGGGAAATGAAGAGAGAGGGGGTATTTTTAGTTAGATAATAAATTTTAGTTTTTTTTTTGGTTATTTCACCCAATTTCCGTTTAAATAACTTTCATGGTTGACCCTACTTTTGTTCATCTATTGCTATATACTCCCTCCATTTTGCAATGATGATATTTTTCATTTGTTCAAACATATTGAAAAAAATACATTAAATATTTATTATATATAAAATATTGTTTTAATTAAGTTAAACTAATAACAATTCGTTGTAAAAAAAAAAAAAAAAAAACTAATAACAATTCAAAAAAACTCAACTAAATCTCTTAAAATTATAATTTACTATAAGTAAATAATTTTTTATAGAAAATAGAAAAAATCTATTTTTTTAACTAAATTTAGTTTTAAAAATTTTATCTCTGAAGAACGGATGCGATATTATAAATGTATGTATATAAACTATATTATTAACGAATAGTCTGTTAATGAAGACGACTTTGTCTATTATCCGCTACATGGTGGCGTATATAAATAAATATTCACGATAACACCTATAACAATATTAGGATACGATTGGTGAGCTTGTTTTGTTGGACTATAATACTTTATCTGAATGAGGGAAAATGGTCTATTCCTACCCGAACAATTTCAATCGTGCCAAATACAACCCGAACAAACATCCAGTGCCAAAAACAACCTGAACTACGTTATAATGCAAAAATACTACCTGAACTTTTTAAAACGTGTCTAAGCTTACATTGACCGTAACAGAAGTTAGTCAACCGTTAAAATGATAAACCGACGTCGGGTATATTCCTACCCAAACAATTTCAATCGTGCCAAATACAACCCGAACAAACATCCAGTGCCAAATACGACCTGAACTACATTATAATTCAAAAATACTACCTGAACTTTTTAAAATGTGCCTAAACCTACATTGAACGTAACAGAAGTTAGTCAACCATTAAATGATAAAATGATGTCGTTTCGATTTCATTATTTTTTTAAAAATATGAACACTCCGGGATTCGAACTCGGGCCTTGCCACTATTTAAAACAGACATATCAACCACTAGATTAAAGCAATTTTTTTACTTTTTCATCTTCTCTAATTAAAACTTTGCTTATTATTATTTTTGATTCTTATTAATATATTAATATATATAATAAACTTATAAATACTAAAATATAAATAATAAAATATTTATAATTATACAAAATTAAATATATTCATGTTTTGAAACTATTTACAAAATGTCCATATATAAATTATTTTAAAATTTTTAAACTTGAAAGTTAATTTCTTTTGTTTCTTAAAATTAATATAAGCTGAATATACTTTACCAAAATAAAATAAATTACCATTAAGTTTTATTTTTAAAATAATGTATATATGGACATTTTGTAAATGGTTGAAAACATGAAATATATTTAATTTTGTATGATTATAAATATTTTATTATTTATATTTTAGTATAATATAATTTTATTGAAGATATAATAATTACAAAATATGTTAATATATTTATAAGAATCAAAAATAATAATAACAAAAGTTTTAATTAGAGAAGATTAAAAAGTATAGTAGCATATATAATTGCAAATTTCTAATAATTTTTTAAAAACAATTGCTTTAGTCTAGTGGTTGATGTGTATGTTTTAAATAGTGACAAAGTCCGGGTTCGATTCCCGGAATGTTTATTTTTTAATAATAGAATCAAAACGACGTCGTTTTATCATTTTAACGGTTGACTAATTTATATTACAATCAATGTAGGTTTAGGCACGTTTTAAAAAGTTCAGATAGTATTTCTGCATTATAACGTAGTTCAGGTCGTATTTGGCACTGGATGTTTGTTCGGGTTGTAATTGGCACGATTAAAATTGTTTGGGTAGGAATAGGCCCTTTTCCCGACGTCGATTTATCATTTTAACGGTTGACTAACTTATGTTACGGTCAATGTAGGTTTAGGCACGTTTTAAAAAGTTCAGGTAGTATTTTTGCATTATAACGTAGTTCAGGTCGTATTTGGCACTGGATGTTTGTTCGGGTTGTATTTGGCACGATTGAAATTGTTCGGGTAGGAATAGGCCCTTTTCCCATCTGAATGAACAGACAGACAATTAGTATAGTTAAATGTTTGAAATTTCCTCCAATCTTGTTTCTAAGGAACTTTTATTTATTTTTCCTTAATGTTTGAGGATGATGCTAATATATCGCAACGCAGAATACAAACTTCCAAAGTCTCGAACTCCAAAATGTACGTGCATGCATTCATTTTCTCAACTGATAAATGTTGGAACTGCAACAAAAAGAAACAAGGTGATATGATACGAAGAAAGGGTTTTTATGGAAGGGGAAAATTTGTAAGGAATGATGGATGATGTGAAAGTTTTTTCACTTTGAAGAAGAAGAAGAAAAAGAGAGAGAGAGGTCCTTTGGGTGCAAGTATGGTTAACCATCACTTTCATGAACATTGGAGACTTTAGAGTTTAGGGGGTAAAAATAAAAAGAGGATGATGTTACTGTTTTTATCTCTTTCCGCATTGTTTTCTGGTGTAATCGAGAAAGAAATAAGTGGTGATAACACACCTCAGTAACTCATGTGTGGTCTTTGTCATCACATCTCATAATTCCCCAACCGTACGGTACAACTAGAAGCATTGAGACATGAGACATGCATCTTACAGATAAAGAAATCTAATAATACAGATAAAAAGAAAAACAGAACTTTGGGGATGTGCAGTCAGAAATGTCAACCATAGAGTAGAAGTCTTGTGTGGCTCATCCAAGCATAGTTCCGCTTTCGCCCTCGTTGTCCCTCCCACTGCATACACGAGAAAAAAAACACTTTTGTAACATCTGAACAAATAGTTGGAAAACAGAACCTTGCCCAAGCTTGCTATGCGTGGCTGGCCATTTAAAAGGAAAGATACATACATATATAAATGTATCAGACTCTCAAGACTCTTGCTATGAGTCACATTGTATCCTGTCTATTCGAGGAAGTTGATTCTAGAGGGACATATCTCAATGTAATTTCCAAAGTCTCTGACCCAAAACTTTTGATCGCATTTCAAAAATAAAAGTTCGGTTTTGTTTTTGGCAAAGAAAAGGATAACAAACTCATTCATATGTTTGGTACAACAAATCTATTGCAAAAGAAAAAAAAGGTTGAGAGAGAGAGAGAGAGTGAAAGTGGAGCTTGGAAAGCTAAGAAGAAGAGAAGAGAGATCCGGGTGACAAGACGGTTGTGAATGGCTCTGATGGTGGCTGGTGTTGTGCGGCAGCAATGAGACTTCTGCATCCATCCATTTCTCTACGTACGACACCAAAGTCTTCACCCCCAACTTCTGTGTTTTCCTGCACACGCAAACACCAACTATTACTATACTTTCCTTTTGTCTCCTCCAACCAAGGTAATGATATGATATGACAATGTGACTTACAACCCACTCCTTCCGATCAGCATCATAGCGTTCTCCGCTGTTTGGATACACTAGTATAGGCTTGCTCGTCACCTACATCAGAGTTATGTTTTTTTTTTCAAGTCTCCCAACACACAAAGAAAAAGATAACCCAATTGTGTTGGATGCAAATTAAAAGCCAGCACCTTTGCTATCTCCAATACTAGGCCTTGTTTGAATCTTGGAGGGGTACAGTTGATCCCAACCGCATCTCTTCATTATGTATTTTTTTATTTATCACTCCACACTCAAAACATAAGATGTGAATATAGTGAATGGTTGCAAGCTAGTTGTCATATTTACTAGGCTGTAGATGATGCCTCGTTTGTGGTTTTAGGATACAGTAGATTTTGTGTGCAGTGGCGTATTTACAGATTGAGTTTTGCACATATTTAGATGGATAAAGGGATCTTTTGCTTGATCTACGTTTGGTTTGTTCAGTCCTTAGTGGCTTTGATGTATTCTCCCTTTGGAGCTAAATTCTTTTAATTTTCTAATGGAAGTTTAGTTTGATCAAAAAAAAGATGGATAAAGGGATCTAAAGGACAATAAGAAAGACCTTGCCATTTAGACAACCCATTGTGGAGAATATGAGACAATTAATCATCTTTTCCTCCATTGTCCTTTCGCTACTGAAGTGTGGAACCTAGCTCCAATCCAGAAGTGCTTCATCGCATCATCATGCCCCAGCTTCACCTCTGCAATTGAAGAATCAGCACGCTGGACGTGTCTTCCACCAACAGGAGTACCGGGTGATATCTTCTCCTGGGTAACTTGGACCATTTGGACAGCTCGCAATCAACTCTTGTTTGAATCATGTATCCCCTTTCCACGGGATGTAATCATGAAAACTCTCGCGAACGCACAAGAATGGAATCAGGCACAAAGCAACCACGTATCTTCGATCGTTTAACAGTATAAGCCCTCATCAAACGATTCTCTGCAACATTGACGCCGCGTGGAATTCGACCACAAACGCAGCCGGACTAGGGTGGGTCTTCACAGCGCAGGACAAACGAACGCTATCAGGGTTTCAATCACAGACTCTTATCCCATCAGCTCAAGCTCTAGCGGTTCGAACAGCTCTCTCACACGCCATTCATCTTGGCTACACAAAAATCTGGGTCAGATCAGATTCTTTTGGCTAATCAAAGCCATCGCATCGACATCAAAACTGAAGGATCTGGGAATACTATCGTCGTTTTCTTTTTGTTTCTTCTCTTTTGTTCCAAGAGAAGTCGCAAAATCTGCTCTATGTAATATGAACTCTTCTTAGGCCCCGGCCTAATTCTCAATGAAAAATTTTGGTTGTTCAAAAGAAAAAAAAAATAACAAAAATCTAAGGAAAGTAAAGTGTTTTGTCCAAGAAAAAGGAAAGTAAAGTTCTAACTAGTTCAACAGTTACACTCCTCTTTCCCTCCTAGATTCGTTCATGCCTGTGTTTTGCAAATACACAAATTTCGAAGGTAACCATAAAAAAATATCAAGAAAAAGAGGATCCTATAAATTGATGTTCATAGCTGTTCCAAACTTCCATGTTTCCGCGAATCTATACTTAGTTAAGATCCTGTTTTAGAACTAAAAAACATAGGGAAAAACATATCGCCACGAACTCTGGGACCGGCAGCCCAACCTACATTTACTACTAACTTATAAACCAAATTCTTGTACACGTGGTAATCATACAGCTTTGACAGAGCTTTAATTTTAGCTATCGCTAATTCTCAATAAACCAGTTAGGGTTAATTAAATACAAACCCACCCCGTGTTTCAAAAAAAAAAAAAAAAAATCCAACCCCCCCCCCCCC